GCTCGCCTTTCGACGCCGTGCTCACGCGGCATCCTGACCTCCGCTACCCGAAGGTGCGCTCGTCTTTCGACGCCGTGCTCACGCGGCATCCTGACTTCTGCCATACGAAGGTGCGCTCGCCTTTCGACGCCGTGCTCACGCGGCATTCTGACTTCCGCCATACGAAGGTGCGCTCGCCTTTCGACGCCGTGTTCACGCGGTACACCGACCCTACCGCGCGAATACGAGCTGCGAGGAATTGGGGTTGCGAGTCCGCCGTCTCCGTCGGTCGCTGCCGGCTCCCCAGCTCGACTTCGCTCTAATCGGGTCCTCTCGCGACCACGACCGCTCGTCCGAAGAGCCGCGCGTCCGCCTAGACTAAGCCCGCGTCCGCCTAGAATAAGTCCGCATCCGCCGATCCTCTGTTTGCGTCCGCGTCCGCCGCGAATTGTATACCGCGACCACGACCGCTCGTCCGAAGAGCCCGCGCGTCCGCCTAGACTAAGCCCGCGTCCGTCGTACCGCAGTGTAACACTTAAATAAACAATTATTTTGGTAATCCGCAGAGCGACAATTATTCCCTCCTCCCGATCCTCCGATCCCGGACACCGGCGAGCCATCTAAGGCCTTCCCTCGAAGGGAAACTCCTCGAGTAACGAGGTCGCGCGCCAGACGCACGCGACTCGTCACATTATCTGTTATTTGGTTGCTAGCAACACCAGATTCGTACAGGTGAGTGAATTAATATTTCTATATTTTTCAATAAGTTTAATAAGTTATTTTAATTTAACATAAATTAGGTATTTGTGTCTGTAATAAATATTTTAAAGACAATTTTCTTTATAGATCTGTGGGAACTAAATTTGATTTAGGCAAATCTTCTTTAGCAGATGCTTTTGTTAGAATTATACGAGCAATTTGTAGAATTTCATCGGATGTCATACAATGGCCACGTGGAGAAAAAGTTGATACTGTTAAAAACAAATTTAAATTATTTGCTGGCATAGAAAACGTTATTGGTGCTATAGATGGCACGTACATTCCTATAAAAGCTCCAAAAATAGATGCTGAAGTGTACAATACAAGAAAATGTTTTTATGCATATACTTTGCAGGGTATTTCAGAACCAAGCTTAAAATTTACTGATGCATTTATAGGATACCCTGGTTCAGTTAGTGATAGGAGAATATTTACGCAATCGAATATCTATAAAAATATAGAATTAAACCCTGATCATTATTTTC